ATGTGCTTGGGTGTGGCAGGAACGTTGCAGATAGGGCTCCAGCTTCCACCATGTGTCCTGCAGAGTGAGGGTGCTTTCTAGTGTTTCTGGTCTGGTCCAACGCAGTAGATCTGCCACTCTTGGAGGTACACTATTGCCGCTTGCAATTGGCCCCCGTATCTTGCTCCACGTAGAGGCAGTTGGTCTGGTGGCCAGGCCTGGGCCAATCTGTGGGATGGCCCGGATGTGATGGATGACCACTTGGTCTACTGGATCTATGTACCGGTTGCTGCGCAGGTCATAGACTATCCAAGAGGCCCCTGGCGTTGTGCCCAAGCTGCTTGGCCAGCGCGTGCCTGAGGGCAGTGCGATATCTTAGAGCCAATCCTTGCCCTTCGATTCCCCACAATGCAACTGGTTGAACGCCGCCTCTGTGAAGTCGTAGTCGTAGTTTGAGTGCTGGCAGTTTCAGGTTGCGGAGCTTGAGCTTCCTGCGATGGGCTTTGGAGATCCTCTGTTTCATGACTGGGATCCTGCCTGGCTGCTTGATGATCCACTCCAACGTCTCTCATCACTGTGGCAACTGGAGGTTCGTCCTCTCTGAGGAGTTCTTTGAGTGCCTTGTCAGTGGCTTTGTCGGTGGCGATGAAGGCTGTTTTCTTTGGATTGACTCTCAAGCCCAATCCAACTAACCTTTGGCGGAGATCTCTGTAGGCCGCAACAGCATTGTTGGCCACCTGGACTTTGCTGTTTGCCGCCTGAAAAGCTCAGCCGAAGGTGGTGAGCGCCTGATGGCGGATCCTTTGCAAGTCTTCTGGAGCGCTCCGGTGACTATTGGTCTCTGCTTGGCATCTAACTGGACTTGGACGCGGCAGTTTTTACAGCGCACCTTTTCACCGCGCTGCCACAAAATGCGGCTGGCATTGCCTGCATGTGGTTGATTGTAGGCCTGATCGATGCACTGGCCTTGGACAAAAGCCTGAAAGGCTGCCTCGTTTGTTGTGGAGACTAGTGCCACATTTGCCACAACGTAGATAAATTTTGGTTTCTTCGAGGGCATGTTGCTCTGGTCCTGGAGGGTTGGTCTGTTGCTGGTTTAACAGTTGCGCAATCACCTGTGCCCTTGTGAGCTTTTTGGGTAGTGGTTTACGCGGGCTGTTTTGGTCAGGATATTCTTCTTCCAGCTGCAGCAGTGGGCAGGGCTGCAGAAGTCTCTCTTCAATGGTGGAGACCGTCAGGGCTTAGTGGGCGCGCAGTCCGCAGGCACTGCAGTGAAACCCACTTCGATGGGGCTCCCATCTGTGGTTTGGAGCCTGCCATGGCTTCTGGCATTGCTGGACGAGCTGCTTCTTGCGCTGTTTGGTTTGCTTTCCTTGGTGTCTGGGCGCCTTCTGGTGTATGTAGTGGTCCTTGGCTAAGCCTGGCCGCACCGTGCTGGTAGATCTCAGTGTTGTCCTGATCCAAGACTTTTTGCCATTCAGTGGCCCTTCTGTCATCATTGGCTCTCTCCCAGGCTACCAATGATGTGGCTCACTGCCTGGGGCGTCCGGGGCTCGTGCATTTCTGCTGACATACAGGACTGTGGCCCGGTTCATGTCTTGCTCTGCGAGGCCTTCAAAAAGGTCCAACTAGGCCTGTCTATGTCTGGCTTGTGTCCAGGCTTCCCATACAGCCACTACTTGCACAATGACCTTGACTTGGGTGTTGGTGTGCTTGGTAAGGGACACAAGACCTGCCAGCAGTGCTCGCATCTTGTTTTGTGGGCTGCTTGGAATGCCTGCGATTGCTCCAAATCGTTAAAGTTGTCTCAAGCTCATGGTATGGACACAGAGGCCAAAGATCCACAGCTGGCTGCGTTGGTCATAAGTGGAAGGAGTGGCATCTAGTGTACACGCCCATCCTTGATGCTGATGGGGTGCCAGAATCTCTGCAGGTCCTGCCATGCGCCATGCCTTTGGGTTTGTGCACCTGGCCTTGGTGCCACTTACACAACCAAAGGATGCGCTTTGGCACTGCTTGGGTTGTCCGTTCTCTCTGAACTGCACTGCTCCTTGCACCCAGGTCTTGAGATGTGTCTTGTGTTCTGCTGGCAGCTTCTTGATTTGTTGATGGTAAACATGCCAGTCCAGCCCAGCGATGAGGTGCTGGTGATGGAGTCTTTGGGCCAGTCTGTTGATTCGCTGACTTCGTGCCTCTTGGAGCAGGATCTTCTCAAGCTTCCACCATGGATCTCGTATGGAGAGCTCGTTTTCCAGAAGCAGTGGCGTAGCTGTCCGTGTCCATGTGGAGGTCTTCGACACACCACTTCCACTCAGTCATGTAGACGATGGTGGCTGCCATTGGTGTTTTGACAATGTACCACGGGTGTTGTTTGGCTTGCACTTGCTGATGGAGCTGGTGCCACGCTTGCTCCAGGTGTGCTACTTGCTCGGTTGGCCATGTGTGATACAATGTGCGTAGGGCCTTTATGTGGTGCACCACAATCTGATCCGCTGGATCTATGTACTTGTGGCTGTGGGCGTCATAGGTGGCATCCAGCATTCCTCCAGTGTGATGGCCTAGATTGGCGGCCATGGCTTGTCTGAGGGCCGTTCGATATCTGGCCGCTAAGCCCTGGCCTTCGATTCCCCGCAATGCCACCGGTTGAATGCCCCCTTTGTGTAGTCTCAGCCTGACACGGAGTGAAGGAATCTTCAAAGTTCGCAGCAGCTTGAGCCTTCTTTGTTTGGCCTTGGCGAACCTTTGACGTAGGACAGGGATGCGTCTTCTTCTTGCAGCTTGATGATCCACACCCAGGTCTCGCGTGACAGAAGCCACGGGTGGTTCATGTGGTGTCAACAGCTCCCGTAGTGCACGGTCTGTGGCTTTGTCCGTTGCAATGAAAGCCGTCTTCTTCGGATTTACCCGGAGTCCAAGGCCAACGAGCTTGTTGTGGAGATCTCTGTAGGCCTCAACAGCTGTTTGCGCAACTTGCATGGGAGTGGATCCTGCCGTATCGAACCCAACATCATCAACCCAACTCGAGAGATGAACATTTTCACGCTTCTGCTTCCAGGGTATCAGAGCCGGCGCAAGAACTGGGATCGTGTCGTAGAAGGTGGACATGTCCATCAACACTGTGACTCCGTGATATCCTCTGGCTTTATGGACTTCTTGACGTAGAAGGCGCTCTAAGGCAACGTGGAGTACGTTTGCCCTTGGCCTGGCCCGGTCGTGATCCATGGTGGCCGGCAATTCCTGTCGCCATTCAAGAAGTGGTTTGTGGAGTCTGCACCAAGTGCGCCAGAGGACTGATGTGAGGGTGATAGGGGAGCATCACTACCATATGCATCTGCATCTCCGCTTGTGCTTCCATGGTGTGGAAAAGTTGAAGCAATGGTGCCAGAGCCAGCGGTGGTGCACTCCGCAGCAACTGAGTGGAGACAGCATCTGGTCCATTGGCTTTGTCAGACAAGCCTTTGAGTACTCTGCAGAGTTGTCCAACTGTCAAAGGTTCCAAAGCTTGAGCTTGGGCTCTTGCCTCTTGTTGTAGGCTGGTTCGTGGGTGGGGCTGGTTGTCCTCTCGGACGTGCCAGAGGTTGCCCCAATCTGCTGGCCTTTGATTCATCCTGTCTGGCATTGGGATTTGCCTATACGGCCGTTCCCAAGCTCGCTGCTCTTGAGGGTTCGATGCTTTCATCATTGGCCAATTGTTGCGCTTCTTGTAGTTGATGGTGCATCGTTTGGATCATGAGGTCGGCTGCATGGGGGTCCCGGCGCTTGCGCCAATGGCGGCATGTGTCTAGGAACCGTCCCCATGTCGGGGGTCCGACCCAATGCTTGCGCACATCACGCACAGCCTGCATGAAGCCATGAACCGGGCCCTTGGTTTTGTGGGCAGGGTGCTTTTGGCTAGCTGAAATCTCGCCCTGAGTTGCTCCCAGAATGCTGGTTTGCCCTTTTTCCATGTTTGTCCTGGTTTGGTGGGTACCAGGCTTGATGACAGCCTGAAGATTGGCTCCCCTGCCTTGAGCCGCCCAAGGATGTTCTTGTAGTAGATATTGCTCCGTTTTGGAGATGGTATGACGTCCCATGTAGCCGTAGCCGTGAGAAGCTCTGCTGCTGTCTGTTGATCCTTTTGCCTGCGCAGTGGCTTGGGTCGTGACAGTCCTGGAGGCGTATCCATCAATGCCTCTTGGTATGTCTTTCGCGGCCATGATGTAGTCTGGGTGTTCATAGTGCTCTTTCCCCCATGTCCTTGTCCTTTGCCTTTTCCAGTGGATGTGCTGCATGGTTGGCCACCAGGTTCCACATCTTCTACACCTTGTGCCTGCCTGGAGCTTGTCCTGCCATATCCAGCTTTTGCAAGAGATATGACTGCAAGCCAGATAGCTGCGGCACCAAGAGGAGGCTTTGCTGGTCGTCATCGTAAATGATGAAAGGGCCCTCAGTGGCCTTGGTGTAGGTTAAGAGAAAGGCAAGCTGGGTGGCTCCGATCAAGATCTGGCCCTGTTTGGTGAGTTAGTTGGAGCACCAATCACCAGGTAGAGTCCAGAGATGTGGCCAGGCGAGCAAATTGCCAGTTGCCGGAGAGGTCCTCAAGAGTGTCGTTGAGGAAGTCGGAGATAGCGAGCAAAGAATGTGCTGTAGCGGGATGGGCCGTCCTGGTGCACAAACTCCTGAACTATGTTCTGCCGCACGAGCCTGACTTTTGGGGCAGCAGGCTTGATCAGCTGGACGGCTTGAGCCATGCATGCATGTATGTATGTATGTATGTTTGTATTCTTTTTGGAAAATAAATGCCGACTTGGTCATCCCCAGCACTGTCAACCGTGCAGCCTCAGCCACCAAGTCCTGTTTTCAAGGGCCACATTTTTGGACGGTCTTATTAGATATCCCTTTTTATGGCTTGTCCATGATGTTTCACCTCCCCAGATAGCTGTTGTTCTATGCCGGAAACAAGTGCTGCTCTTTGTGCTTTGTCTGAGGCAAGTTTATGATTTGCTGTATTTGTTGGTGAGTCAAACATGCAACTGGGATACGGCCACCAAAGCAGGCAATGACCACGAGAAGAAGAGCGTGCGGCCATCGTTGCTGAGCCTGCACTCGTTCAGGATGCTAGTCAAACACAAAAACGATGCATGTCTCAAATGTACTGCACCCTGCCTCAAGGAATTTAGAAGCTGTGGAGGATCACAAGGGCGTGTATATCGAACTATGGTCGTCTGCAGGCTGTGAACCCCTTCGCTGATGGCCAGCCCTTGAGGAAAAACAACATTTAGAATCCTCGGACCGAGCATTCAGTCCCCACTGATGAAGTGTTCAGGTGCAAGAAACCTCCAAGCACCCCCACACCAAATTAGATGCTTGTGCGACTGTCTGATGCCCGTCAAAATTCAAGGTAGTGCGGCTTGACTCATGGATGGTACAGCGTGGAGGATGTCCATATCTGCAGGCCATCCATTCAGTATTTGGATTGTTCGGCAAGTATAAGGATAAACACACATCAAGAAGTATGAGGCAAATGCCACGCCAATGACCAGGCATACAATCTATAGTATGCAATTCGCTGTCCCCAACTGTGCACAAAGACATCACACTTTCTGCAAGACTGGTGCAAGTAAAATGAAAAGAACAAAAGTACTGTATATGGCTAAAAGAAGTGCAGAGCCCATGCAAGGCATAACCACAAACCACAAAGCAGCACATGTGTGAAAGCTGCATGAATACACAAATAATTGAGGGCGCGCTGCATGTCATGTAAGTGTTGAAAATGACGCCACCAGGTATGAAATGTTCACCAGCCAGAACACACTTGACAAGCAAGCTCAAGTTATAGATTCCGTTCATGCTGCGTTTGTTTTTGGCTATGAGAAGGTGAGCAACTTGAGCAACGCAATATGTAAGCTTCAATTCCTTTCTGCTTCAGCACCCTCTTAGTTCAAGCGCTTTTCTGTGGGTATTGGCAAAAACTCTGCATGCCATAACCATACATGTCCTTGTCCACTTGAAAGGGAAGTTCAAAGAACGCAAAGTTGAGAGTGTGCCAAGGGGCATGCCGCAAGGCAGTTGTTGACCATCTGGACAATTGCCAATCTCTGTGCAAAGATCCACTTCAAAGCTTCTGTGGTCATTGCAAGGCTGCCCTCGGGCCTCCTGCGATTGAACCCTCACGCAAGTCCAGTCAGTTTAATTGGAGCACAATCTGTTGAAACTTGACAATACGCTCCAGCTGGTCATTAATTTTGTCCTCAGGTTTGTTTGTTTCTTGGTTTGACTGGGTCTTGGCCTGCCCATACTTTGCGTACGCACAGTACACCTCCCAAGGCTGGCATGTTAAAAGTGGGAGATATATAAGCCCTGAAGCAATCTATTTAGGTGTAAGCTCAATGAAGCTTGCAAAGTTTCGGCAGCCTGGTCACCCATGGATGTACCTGTTCCATCGTCATTATCCTTCACCTCAGAAATGCTCATTACACAACAGCACTATAGTGCTACATGGCCTCAAAATCCTCGATACTTATTCTCCGCCGGGGCACCTCTTGATGAGTAAGATTCCCATACTCCAGCTGCCAAAACAGGCGCTTGCTAGCTTGTAGAAGGTGCCATGCTTTCACCACCTCTCCACCACCTTTCAAGCCACATATTCATGAATGTTCATAAAATCTCAAGAACCTTTTCAGCTTGCTGCATGTGTCAGAAGAGCTAGTTCGGGACCTTCTTCAGGACCGGCTTCCAGCAAAATGCGCTCATTGCTGGCATTAAGCTCCACGGCGACAGAGAAGCTGATCTTCACAAAGTTGAATTTCAACCGAAGGCAGTGAGCAAAGAACATTGGGAAACTCTTTAAAACTAATATGTGCAGCTTTCGAAAAGAGTATATAATTCATCATGATTAATCCCATGCAGTTAAACTCATTGCGGCCTCAAGTAGGCGATCATCTTCAAGTCTTACTGCTGGTTGAGGAGGAGGCCACTCGACACAGAAATCAATCTTTAGGTCCTCATGGCATCATGATGAATCATTTGGCGATTCCTGTATATACTTCATTCCCACCGTCAGTGACAGTCACCCACCCAGGGTGACCGGTGGACTGATGAATTTACTCATGGTACGAACGAAGTGGGAAACCAAGGCACCGAGATCAATGACTTGACATAACAACTAGCCGTAGCTAGCCTGACGGACTATGATCTACGCACTAACTGGCTGGAATTCTGATTAAAATTGTTTCTACTCTTCCTTGTCTCTGCATCTGACCTCACCCAGCTAGACTCGGGAGAAGTGCCTTGCTGACCTTTCTGATATTGAGCGAACCATTCAGGTTGGGTTTGCATTATGTTGAATGTTTGTGGCAATGAAATCCACCAGCGAAAATCGTACCCCGCCTCACACAGCGCAGTCTGAGAGTTGCATGATCCCGCCGCCTTTGACGCAAGGAAGTGTGCATACTTGATCAATGCTCTCGCACATGAGGTTTGCAAAGCCTCCATGTCAAGATGGAATCTGTAGCAGCACCCGGCAGTAAGTGGATGGTCTGGCTTGAAGATTAGAGTTCCTTAGAGCCAGCAACCCTGTTTGAAACAGAGTATGGGCCAGCATGAAAAACTCTGAGAAATCAAGGTTGAAGGTAGGATTATGCTAATCTATGGTGGCCCTCACCGCCGTCTTGTTCTTCCAAGCATGCGTTGTAACTACAGTAGTTGTACCATGTTTGATCAAAACGGGTTTGATCTGAGTGGATAGCACTCAGATTTCGATACACTCGTTGGCGGCACGTATTTGGAGCCATTCTCGAAATGCCGCAACATCAACTCACTGGCTCGGTACACTCTATAGTAAGGGTTAAACCCCAATCACGCGAAGAACAAACACGAGCAAGGCAAAGTCCCATGTCCTTGTACGAAGTTAGTGCAGACCAGCGGCTCCCAGGCATTTGAGCCTGATCGGCTTCAAAGCTGAAAACTGACAAAGGAAGGAAAAATCAATGAAACATTTATCAAGGTGTTCTCTCCCGCACTTGTTCTGCAAGTGCTAAGCACAATGATACAATGAAGTTAGCAGGACAGAAGATCTATCAACATCAGCAATCTTGGTATGGTTAAAACAAAAAACACCGGCAAGGGACCCCAAATAGTGTAAAGAGGAACAGATGGAACATGGCATCACGTGGAAGGAAAGAAGGAGCACACAGAGGAGAGCACAAATATGAGAGGATACATACAAGAGCACAAGTGTGAGAGTGCACAGATGAGAGCAGCAGATGCGGAAGCATGTGAAAGACCAGAGGGACCAGGCGTGAGTTTGTAAGGAGGAGAGTGCGACCAACGTAGTGCCAAAAATGCTAGAGTAGTATGGCTTGAAGGTCGTTGTAAAACAAAAAGCTACGACTGCAGACGCGCATGTTTTCCGCGTGCGCATGCAGTGGCAAGCTGCGAGTGCGCGCGACTCCGATGCGAGGGGCCGCCCCAGCGCAACCGCATGGGACGAGATGAAGGATGCGACGAAGCCGGAGAGTAGACTGTCAGCTTGTGGAGGATATCAGGCCGCAAGCCATGCATCATACTCGGCATCCACGTGGCACCAAAGAACCCGGCCGCCGCGCGAAATCGGATTGGCGGCACGCGCCTCCAAAAGAGTCAACAATAAGGGGGCCAGGTATTTGGTTCCATGTTTGAGCAAAGCCTTCACCCACACAGGGTTGCCGTTTGAGGTAGGCAAAAAAATACCCTCGCTTCCTGACGCTATTTTGACGCCACTGGCGGGGCGTTCACAAAGTACTGCGCCTGCCACGAAATCTGCACATTGAGATTCACAAAGTGCTGTGCCTGCTACGAAATCTGCACATCGAGATTCACAAAGTGCTGCACCTGCCACGAAATCTGCACTTCCAGACTCAGCAAGTGCTGCGCCTGCCACGAAATCTGCACATCTAGATTCACACAGCGCTGCGCCTGCCACGAAATCTGCACATCGAGATTCACAAAGTGCTGCGCCTGCCACGCAATCTGCACATTGAGATTCACAAAGTGCTGCGCCTGCCACGAAATCTGCACATCGAGATTCACAAAGTGCTGCGCCTGCCACGAACTCTGCACATCGGAGATCCAAAATGAGCAAATTGCACGAGGCTTTCGCAAATTTTGAAATGCGTTTCAGAGATGCAGTGCCTGCCACGAAATCATGCCTGCAGGTCATACGAAATGCTGCACTGCCCACGCAAAATCATCCTCAAGTTCAAATTCCAAAAATGCGACCCCTCTCACGAATTCAGCCGTTTCACCTCAAAATATCGCATCCATGGTGCGGATTCCCTGCGCCTGCCGCGTGAAACGCAGTCCTGCGAATGACACACGCCTGCCAACGTTTTTGCAACGTCCACAAAACACTGCGCCTGCCACGAAATTTGCAAAGTCTCCGATTCCTTGCACCTGCCACGTAAAATGACCTTTTCGAGGCTCCAATGTGTCGAATTCCTTGCGCCTGCCAGGCAAAATGCACTTCATGTCCGAAAACGAGCACGGCACCTGCACGAGAGCTTTGTCCCGGAAGCGCGAAAACCGCGACACCCACTTTATGCGAGCCTGCGCAGTCGAAATGGACATGAGGAATTCAAAAAGTAACTTTTGTGCGAGCCGGCCCATGCAAAATGCCGCAACCACACGCGCGAACCCTGATCTAAACCCGGCCCTTAACTCTTACGTAAGAACCCCTTAGTGCGGAGCACTATTTGGGGAAATACACCTAGTGTGCAAAGCAACCTGTCGCACCCTCCTGGTCCATGGCTACAATTTTCGAAGCCACAGCTGTCTTTGCCAAAAAGCAAGGCGTCACAGGCACTGTTGAGGACGCTGTGTCTGTGTCTACCTCTATTTCTGTGCGTGTATATTCGTCAACAACTTCAGTGTATCTGCCTCCTCATGTGGCATGGTTTCTGTCACGACGGTTGACGAGCTATGCCACTATCTTGGCGAAAGTGTTTCGGAGAGTTTTCTGCGTGCCTCACAACGCCCTTAACCAATCTAGTTCGAGGGAAAATGTTTCCCGAAGAAACCTCCTCTCCTAACGTCGCTTTCTGCCATCTCCACCTCTCTGGTGTGGCACTAGCCGAAAAGGGTTACCTCTGGTCCCCTCTCCGAATGAGAATTCTTTGGTTGTGTGCAGCTCTTACACTAAAGTCACTAAAGCAAAACCTCCGTGGGTGCCTAAGCAGAGAGAATACACAGGTACAAACCGCGAGAGAGAGAGAGAGAAAGGGAGAGCGCGGGCTATCTGTTGATCAGTGTGCAAACAGATTTGAGCAACGCTGTTCCTTTCAATTGAATGAATTCATACAAAGGTGGAACTCATCAGCGTGCTGCGCACGAAAGTTCCCGACTCTGCTGCAAGCACCCGACTTTGCTGCAACATTTGCCACCGCGAAAGCAAATCGTGTAAGCAACTTGTGGTTGCCGCTTCATAAAGCAAAGGACCCTGGGCCGGACTTAGGACCAGCCACACGCATCAGGAAGATGTTTATAGAGGATGAGCCCCTGCTGCCACGACAAACATCCGTGCCGGGACACGAGAACCAAGAACCCAGTGCACTATTCACCACAACATGAGGCTGCGCCATGATCTGCTTGAGAGAAGTTTATAGAGCATGGGCAAGTGCGGCCACAGAAGGACAACGCCCCCGAATAACGTACAAGGACAACACGAGGACACCAGGAGCACAATGTGGCCCTTGCCACAGACACAGAAGGACAAGACCCAGACAAGACCTTCAAAGCACGAACAACACCAGAAGGACAACAAAAGGACAAAGCGTTCGCCAGCGGCCACTGATCATGGCCAGCCTCCTTTTCCTAAGGGAGAACACAACAGTGAACTGTTTTTCGGCTTTTGATGCCTCAGCTCAGGACCCAGACATACACTAATGCCTGACCAAAGTGACGCTGACCAGGAAACTCACACACGAAGGAGAGTATCCTCGTGTCAGTCCAACTTCAGTCAGAACCGTGAACCGTTTGGAGAGGAAAACAATGCCTTGGGCGAGGCTGTGAGAACAGGAAGTGGCAGGCATCCATGCAGCAAGGCTTGAGTCGAGGAGAAAGGACAAGTCGGGATCCCTGCAGCTGGGCAAAGAAGGAAAAGAACAATTCACTGAGAGTTGGACTGAAAGAACAAACGATCAGGATGATCAAGCCCAAGCAGCAAACAGGAGAAAACAGCTTAACATATATACATCCAGTCGGCCTGAGCCACCTTCCAGAACACCCATAAATAAAGGAGCTAGCAGCTACAGGGTCTTCCTGAAGTGGTGGATGCAGCAAATGTTCATTGTCTCGGCGGTCGAGCCATTAGCGGCTGACGTTTGGGAGCCAACTCCTGCCATACAGAAAGCTGGTCTGACTCTCTCACCGTAACTACGATGACCATCAGTTGATGGACTAGATGACCTTCCTAGCTGGAATTGACCAAGGGTACAGGTTAATGATGCGCTGCAAGGCCGTTTTGTGTGCCAAATATTTTCTATACTCAGCCTTCCTATATTAGCTACAGTATCACCAACTGTTGCAAAAGGTTTTTGCTGTGTTCGCTCAACAAATCCCTCCCGCCAGACCATCCAATTATACATGAAACAAGCACGATGCATGACGATATATCACAATGCATGTTGCGTTTCCATCAAAGCTCTTGAAGTCTTCTAGGTCGGTACGAAAGGGGTTCGAAAGCTTTTTTCATTCTTCCAAATAGGACATGCTGTTTGGAAGCTTCGAGCCTATGCTGAGACTTCGACTCTTTGTTGCATTGAGTACAGGACAACTGACTGGTAAGGCCAAGCAGGCTTCAGCGGCAAGCAGCCACAACTTAAACTTAAGCATTGGCCATTTGAGGTATCCAGACGAGACTAAAGCACGTTTCACCAGTTAGCAAGTTCAGGATGGGGGAGAAACTTTCTCAGTAGTGATTTGGGCAAAGACATGCCACAAAAGGTGTCGTCTTTAGAAAGAAGCTGCCTGGTGGCAAAATCCTCGGAGTCCTCCACCATCCCCATCAGCCATCAACACCAATGAACCATGCCACTTTTCTGTAACCATCATCATCAGCAACAAACCTCTTGAACATCCGGAAGCATGTCTGCAGTTGATCAATGTGAGCACAAACCTGTCGCTGGGTTAACAAAGCCTTCCTCCAACCTGAGCTTCTTAGCCTACAATAGAATTGAAGCCTTGATCTGTGCAGTCCATCGGTGCCCAACAACCGTATCATATACCGGAATGCAAAATGTCTTTACTTCTGTATGAGAATTGGTATTTCAACATCGGAGAGTCACAGGCCTCTGAGACAGGAAGTGATGCAGAGATCACTTCTTCTGCACACACTTCATCACTTAGAGCTGGGTGCTTGAATCCTCCCAGTCGCACAACTTGTGAACTGAGTGGAGCTGAGTCTGGAACATGTCGGGTGCTTAGCAGGCTGCAAGCTACTGCGGTTTAACTTATCCTGTCTCTTACACACTGGAACGGGCCAAGCAGTTTGGGAAAAACGTGTAATTTTCAGAGACGATGGATGCCATTCGTACAGCCTTCCACACTGCTGAGGCGGCGTGATGCATTGCGCTCAGCCGCCGAGCCTGCATGTATGTCAAGCATAAACAATCTTGAGAAATGATATGATGTGATATGACCTCTTCCAAAAAGGGTGGCTGAGTGTTCCATTTGCAGCCTCACCTTAGCCACTGGGATTTCAGTCTTCCAGCACACTGTACACATGTTCGGTAGAGGACTAGCACTCTGAGGTGGCATGCACAGCGGTCAAAGTGCAGCACGAAGTACTCCAGATCAGACCTTGTAAATGCTTTATAATTTATCCAAGCATCTGTGAAACACTAAGGGTGCTCCAAAATTTTCTGAGGGCATGGCTTCACCTTGATTTCACCATCCCAGGGGAAGGTCGTCACCACTTTCCTGGCTCACAATCCAAGCACACAATGTGATATCAAGTATATCACCTGATTTCTGCCTTAACTCAGCCGGAGGAGCGGGCATTTCGTTTTCTGTGGAGTTGCGAGCTGAAAGCGCAGAGGTCTGCCAATCGGGGCACCATATGCTGCCATGGCCTCAAGTGGAGGGAAAACCTTGCTACATCAGTAGGACTGAAGTTGTGGCACAAAAAGTTGCATTGGAGTTGGACCCTCAGAAGCACAACTGCACTAAGCCCTCCGCAAGTTGGACCCGCAAATCCTCCAAAACAATTGAGCAAACATGAAAAATGAACAAAGCTCTAAGCTCTAAAGCCAAAAAACACTCCTCCGAGTCCAGAGACGAACTCATGCTCTGCAGCAGCGCCTGCCAAGGACACGCTCAGGGACCCTGAGATCAAGTGCATCGCTACTTCTGAGATAGTACAAGAAGCCTGTCACAACACCTTTTGACGCTTTGATGTGACGACTCTTCGGACTGTACTTTTCGATAATTCGGCACTTGTCAGAGACTGACTTTGCCAGTTCCTGACAGCACACTATCAGGATTCTAGAAAGCAGCACACTTGGCACCCTAGCAAGGCAGCACAAGCACTATCATGCAAAGCCGAGCGCTTAAAGCTGAGCGCTCATAGATGCTTCGCTGTTCTGACCGCGGACGCAAGCCTCAGCGACCTCATATGCTTGCACAAATGTGTGGAAAGTCTCCTAGCAACGCCGAAGGAACATAATGTTGTACATGCACATGTACATATTTACATTCTTCTGTGACTGTAACTTATGTATGCAATGATGTATTGATTTATATACCTGGGTCCTTCTGTTTTTGGTTCCTCGCTGCTCCCTCATCCTCAGCTTTGTCCGATTTGGGTTGTCCGATGTGGGGTCCTTGGACTTCGAATCAAGTCGGCCCAAGGAGCAGGAGACAAATGCCAAGAATTGCTGCTGCAGGCAAGGGAAACACAAGAAGGGCAAGTAACACAACATGTAGACACAGCTATCCAGAACTTGGACATTTGTAACGGATTGCTGTTCCAGGGAGGGGCAGACACAGCCGACCGAAGGACAGACACACTTATATGCAGTAAACAGAAAGTAACAGCAATCAGGAACCGCTTGGGGAATGAATTTGGAGGGACAAGGCTCCGAGCGACGGCTCAATTCCCAAGCACAAACAGGTGATCCCACCCATCCTATCCACATCTATCCACGGCTGTAGCTTCAGACGGTGAATTATGAATGTCGTCCCATGCAATCATCTTATGCAAGGTTTACACACACAGTGTGAGAGCTGTAGCAACTCAGCATGCGCCATCGATACCTTTGCGGCTCGAAACGTTTCACGCTTGCAATTGGTGCAACATGAAGAGTTGTTAGCTCTTGGGCTCTTGAGAGAATAAATAGGTGCTATGAACTACAGTGCACTGGGGCCTCAACTCAAGCTCAGTTGCTACATCTTCCAAGCTCTTGATGTCTGCTTCCCATTCAACCCATGGCACGCCTGCTTGGTCAAAAATGCATCTATGCCAAAAGCTAGAAGTCCCGTTTGATCCTTTTTGGTCTGCCTTCCTCAGCGGTAGCATCGTGCTCCACAAGAGCACTTATGCACGCAAGCTCCTAGAGCGTGCCAATAGCGATGCAAGCTTGTACAAAACGAGTTTCAAGACTTGGAACCCTTTGCAATGTGGTGAAGAATTTGAACCTCTGCCAAGCTCTGCTGCAAGCATTGCAATTGTTCCAGCGTCTTCTGTTGAACATCATGCTGTAGCTCCTGGTGAATAATTTGCAAAAAGTATTCCTCGCTCACATTCAAGCACATGTTCATTGTTCATCTTGTCAATGAGTACTCCGTCGTCCACCTCAAGAGTCCCTAACTCTTCACGGCCATAGCGTCGAAGGTCCTGGCCACTCAGTTGAACAAGTTGCACCTAGCAGCTGGCACTCACTGCTCATTCATAGAAACACTGAAGATTGTTTTAGCGGTGCAACAACAGTCCTGCTGCAGTAGGAGGGAATGAACTCGCACACTGGATCCCCTGGCTCACTCCAATTCAATCTACAAAACAAAACAATTACGACCAGAAACACGGCCATGTTTGCTGAGATTAGAATACAACTGCACAGTGGCCAATGGGAGGCATAAAAACACCTAAAGTGATAAAATCTGAAGATTTCGAAAGCTCAGCGTAGAGAACTTGTTGTTAAACACAAGTTGGGGCCCTACATCTGGCTTGCAACCTGCCTCAAAGAAAGGATGCCATCAACCACCCCATCCAGAGTTAAAGCTTCATTGTTGGATGTGATGAGACTGAAGAGTTCATTCGAAGGCAGCTCTGCAGACACCTCACAAACAATTGCAAAATGATTGAAGAACTCGGAAGCCAAGCAAATTGAAATTCCAAAAACTAAGGGTTTAGATTTACATATACTGAAAACAAGTGCGCCCCTTTTGGCGCTCTCGGTTCGAGCCTAGTTCAACCGGTGTGACACGTGTGCAACCAGTCATGTGCTTTCCTGATCATGGGTTCATTGGAATGCCACTAAATCCTATCACCCCCCGTATGGCTGGCTGCGCACACCGGCTACATGGGCGTAGAGCTCGTGTCGATCGCCCTTGTAGATTGCTGCAGGAATGGTGATGGTAGCACTGTCCTGCCGTTGTCATCGTCCACTCCTGTCTTTCCAGCATGAAACTTGTGTGTTCCAGTTGGTCTCGCGCCACCTGACATGCAGCAATGGCTTCCTGCTTCAGCTCACTGTTGCTTGCTTCCCACATTGTCATGGCCTCTTTGCCCTGCTTCAAATCTTCCTTCAACCGTTCGATCTCCAAGTCCTTCTCGCTCGGATCCACTTCCAATCGCTCTTTTTCTCTCAATACTTGGATGTAGTTCTCCCTCAACTCATCTCGTTCACCACGCAGATCAACATTCCTGTCTTGGTGTTCCAGGCATTGTTGCATCCACATGTCTCTCTCTCTTCTTTGTTTCTTTGATCTCCTTCATCCGTTCATGCTGCTCTTCACAGCTCGCCTCAAGCTGTATGATCTTCCATTGCATTTCAACTTTCTCTGGACCAGCCTCACACTCGATCTCTGATGGCTGTGCGGTTGCTCCTGCCTTTGTCTGTTTGCACTGCATCAACTGTCGTACTTTATTCCATACCCACCGAGCCAAGCTCAAGGCTCCGACAGCTGACAATGTTGCAACTGTAAAGAACACACGCGTCCACCACAGCTCATCATTGTCCTCTGCATTGATTGCTGTCCCTGCACTGTTGTTGCTGCCATCTGTTGCGCTGATCTCCCTTGTCACATGCCCTCGGCTTGTCTGCAGTAGAGCCATAGCGATGATCATGGCCACTCTTGCATTTCCTCCCAAGGCTTTCGACACCTTTCCTACGTTCTTCTTCATGTCCTCTTCTCTTTGATCTCACCATACTCTTCACGGCCAATCTTCTGGTCGTCTCCACCGATCATTTTGATCAATAATTTCAGACCTTTCATCCTGGCCTTGCTGAGGATCTTCGTCCCGATGTCACTTGTGTTGACTGAAGTTGGGACTCCAGTCACCCTCAACTCCTTTTCGCCAACCTTCTGCTGGAGCCATAGGAGTCCTGCTGCAATGTGTCTTGTCCTCCCCACGCCAACTCTTCCAGCGAGGGACCTGGCTGCTGATGAATCACTGCGGCATACCATATCAACGTCTTCTTCTGTAAGAAACTGCCAACAGTGTTTGAGGAATAAACCTTCACTGCAGCCCCCCACCATTGCAACATACTCACTTTCTCCTGAGGACAATGCGATGGACCGCTGACAACGTACATTGCTTTCCATGAGGCAACCATTCAAGTACAGTTGTACTGAACTCACTGAACGGCGTGTATCTCGTTGACCAGCATAGTCTGCATCACACATCACTTCCAGAAAATGACTGCTGTCATCCATACTCCATTCATAGATGTCCTCGTTGGTGTTGAACACGCGCTTGCCCCTTTGCCCACGCTCCAACAGCAAACCTTCGTCCATAGTTCCCAGAAGGTAGGAACTTACATGTTGCATAGCTTGCCATCCTTTCTTTGTGGGTCTCTGCATCAATGAAGCCAACCCTTGGGCCACAAATTGTATGTCCGGCCTGTCTGGTGCAATGTATGAGGAGTTTCCCCACTGCACTTCTGTACAACGTGACCTGTGCTGCAGGCATAGCCTCATCATCTTTCTTCAGCTTCGTGAAGTTACCATCGCCTGGTGTCGATCTGGGATTCCTGTTCAACACATTTGTGACCTTGGCCAACTCCTTGATGTGCTCTTGATCTGGCCTGATGGTGACGCCCTTGTCCACGATCTCCATGCTCCTCTTCAAGTAGTGGAATGGACCTGCATACAATGGCCCCGTCTTCTCTACCCTCCAAGACTTGCTCTCCATGAACTTGATGAATCGCTCAACCTCATCTTCAACTCCGACAATCAGCAGATCATCGACGTGGATGGTCAGGTAGAGCTTTCGCTTGTTCCCACCTTCAACTCTCGTAGATGACCTCATCATCGTTGGCTGCATCGCATCCTGCTCCAAACCAAACTCTTTGGCCACCTGGCAAAATTTTTGGGCAGCTGCATTCCACTGGCCTGGCAGATTCTTCTTCAATCTATACTTTCCATTCTCTGTGATGATCATGGCTTTCTCATCTGCCGGCTGGTCCATCAGCAAAAATGCGTAAAGCATACCCAGTAATCATCTGAAGGTGCAACAGCATACGGACGACCACTGATGCTGAGGTTGGTGCAAAAGCGTCTTCTGTAAATACTGACCATTTGAACTGGCGGCCTACCAGTCGAGCTCGCCTGAACCAACCTCCTTGTTCATCTCGGTGCTTCCAGGTCACCAACATCTTTGAAGTCAGGACATAGGAGCCTTCCTCCTCTGTCTCATTCTCTTTCATCTTCTGAGCACTCCCATCTTCTCAACACGCTCTTCTTCGATCTTGCATGCCTCAGTGTCCAACACCTTCAATTCCTCATCAGACAACTCTGGAGGTCTGTCCTTGATTGCTTCTCCATTCTCCTCATCTTCACTGATGTCGTTCACAACCTCTTGCAAGATCTTCTCAGCTTCCAGTTCATCTCCTCCTGGAAACATCTCCTGAATGCTCTTGATCTGCTTCTTGGGGCTTGCCACTTCATCATCCTTCTCCCACGGCATAGCAAAGAGCTCACGCTTCACGCTTCCCTTCAGGAATGGCATTTCAGGTGTCTTTGAATCGGGCTCTGCAATCCTCTGTCTCTTTGGGCTCTCTTGTGGGTCCTCCGTCATGAAGTTCCTTGCTGGTTCTCCTTGCATGACTTTTGGTATTGGCAGTCTTGCTGGCCTCTTGTATTCTCCACTGGCCATCGATGTAGACGTGGTTCTCGCCTGTTCATCTGCTACCTCGCCAGCACGTTCAGGCTTCTTGACAGCCTTTGGCATTGGAGTCCTCGGTACTGGTGTCTTCAGTCCCGGTGTGAATAGCGCTGGTGTCATTCCAGGTGTTCGTGCTGTCTGAGGTAGCCCAGGGGTTTGATCTCCACCTCCACGGCCATGAAGTCCCAAAGCGACTTGTTCAGAAGATGAGGCAACCTTCTCATCACCTGCTGCATCTTCCTCAGGCGCTGCCAGCCTTTGTCTTGCTTCAAACCGTGCCCCCATCAAGATGCCTTGCACTGAGTACTGCCATGGAAGTCCTTTGCATGCCACCAGCATCTCGAATTGATCTGGTAGTCTTCGGATGGACCTGGCTTCGACAGCTCCTGCTCTTGTCAAACATATGTGGCTGTCGCTCCATGCACTCTTTCCAACCCAAACTCCTTTCTTGTAGACTGGCTCTCCCATGTGCTTTAGTCAAGCCACATCTTTGAACAGGACAACTTCTCCCCACAGCACCACCTTTCCAGCATACTTGCTGTCGGTCATCATTTCGTAGGAGGTAGCACCATTGATCACCCTGTATCTCGTCAGCAACCAAGCTGCATGCCGAAAGGACCATGGATACGCACGCATCACTCCAGTCAGCTTGACTCCAGCCTTCTCCTCAGCGAATGCTCTCAAGGTGTTTGCGAGCTTTCGCGCCGATTGGACTGTCCTCTCGGCCTGTCCATTTGACTGATGTTGATCGCGGCTGGTGGTCCTGATCTCTGAGCTCAAACCCAGTGATGCACGAGCATGTTTGGATGGCTCTCAATATCTGCCGCGTCGATCGCTCACCGTCAGCTTGAAAGATCATTGGCTGTCCACCACCGACTTGCACGCTGAACCTGGCGATCTCCTCGGTGATCTGTTTCAACGAGACACTTCCCTTGGCTGCCACTGGGATGCACACCACGGCCTTTGTCTCAGACTCGGCAACATACAACGCCGTACCCAGTTGCTTCTCCTCCTCAGCGCCTCTGGTGTACGTGCAGCCAAAGTCGAAACTGATGACGCTCCTCCCACGGTCTTTGACTTGATTTCTATCTGCCTCGGTTCTGGCATCTTCTTTTGCACGAGTTGCAATGCAAGTCTGACACCATGCCTTATAAGGAATGTGGGTGAGTTGATGCATCTCCTGTTCATGTCTTGGCGGAAGCTTTGGAGTTGGAACTGGTACTGCTTCTCGACGTGCTTCCGAGTATAGCCTCTGGGCCACTTCAAAGGCCACTCTTTCTTCTTGCTTGTACTTGTACTGTTGTAGGCGCCGAAGAACTCTCATCTTCGATCCTGAAGTGGGCAGTCCCAGTTTCTGGCATGCACTCTGCAGCTCCTTCAGCTTGTTGTCCTCCGTGTACTTGACATCGTCGATCTCCACATCTAGCGCATCTGGATAAACAAACTCAACGTCATCTGCCACCTGAGGTCTTGAGCCGTCTCCTCCGGCTGCCAGTACTGGAATCTCTCCTCCTTCACCTTCTTCTTCCTCTGGCCATGACGCCGGCTCATCTCCAATCAAGGGATATTGGCTCACAGGGACCTCAGAGTTCGGTACGAAGTAGTCCTACAGGGCTCCTGGTGACACAAATGTCAAAGCTGGCCTTGGACCAAGTGGGATCTCTCTGAATGGCAGTGTAGATTTGGCGTCGCCCACATTTTCCACCTGCTCCCACAACCCATCTCCATCTTTCACTTTCAGCAAAATCATTTGGCAGCTCCATTCTGGACCAAAGCTGTCGCTTGCATCATGGAAGAAACGGGCATGTGGGTTCGAATACACCACCACTCCATTTGGCAAGACACGCCATCCAGGAATTCGTTCAAGTAGGGCCAACTCCCTGGAAATGTAGCCCCACAACATCTCCTTCTTGGCCTGCGCAGGAAAGATTCTCTGTTGCCCATGAATTG